TATACAGTGACTTCAGTGATGAAATGTTGCTTTGTACGTCTTATATTAAAATATTACAAGACTGAGTGCTATTTACACCCCATTAGCCTGATCCAGAAGGAGGTGTTTAAATTTTATTATACTTTTTTGTTTATACTTCCAGTGAGGACAAGTGCAATTAGTAAATGCACTGAGGAATCACAGGACAAAAAGTGAACATACAGTAGAAATAAAATATAGTTCCAGTAGAAATTACAGGATTAAGTACTCTAAGTAAGCCTATAGAAATGCTATAGGTGTAATGAAATTGCAGAAATTAACTTCCAAATCCAATTATAATAATGGAGAAGTGATTATCCAGTTGCATTAAGAGTTAAAATAAAGTATGATACCAGATAAATGTGTTTACTAGAAAGACTTTATTAGATTTGCTTGCATTTATCCACTGTAGTGTGTGCCACCAGCCCTTGAAGCTAGGGACAGATAGAAAATAACAGATAGAGGAGAGAGATTGAGTTCACTTGCTAAATATAGCCAGTAACAACTGAGATATTTTTACTAGAAAAGATAAATAGAGAGATACCAAACACAGGACATGTCTTGCACAACAAATCAAAATACTGCCTCTTCCTTACAACCTCACAGCTCCACCAGAATTAGTAACATTTGTAAGCACTTGATCATGCAGGAATAGAATGAAAAAGGACTCCGTGAAGAAAGTCAAAACATTGCAGAAAAAACACAAAATACCAATAAAGAACCAATTATTACAAGCATCAATATTCTAGTATTAGACAGAAAGATTTGTAGATTAAGATAAAAATACGACAACCATGCCTATCATTTGGAGAAAAGTGATACTGGGTACATGTACATGTAATGCTTTAATGAGCATTATCCTAAGTTAATGCACATTAAGGGTGCACATCTACACGTGCGCACCCTTAATATGCATTAAAATGGCAAATTTAGGCTACTTATGCCTAAAACTGATATTTGCAAATGAAGGTATCAGATTTAGGCATGATAGTTAAAGCACATTAACAAACATGTAGAAGTTTAATGTGCGTTAGCACTGTGTGTGTTGACTGACTTGGGACCAGCTTTAATCCCAAGTCAGTCCACATACAAAGTTAATGTGCTTTAATGCCTGCACATGTAGATGCCTGCCTAAACCTGTTTAATGCGCATTAAGCTAATGCGCATTAAATTTAGGCACACTTAAATGCATATGTAGACACATCCATTTTTCTGTAACAAATAGGAATTGGGACACTTGCTTTATTTGTTGATTGGACTAATAATTTGAATACAAATCATGTTTAAAAAATAACTTGTACTTTAAAATGTAAATATTTGCAAGCTTTTAAATATTCTGGAGGCTCATCTTGCTTCTCTGAACAGGTTAGAGAAAGCAAAATTACATGATTTTTTACAACTATTCCATTTCTGATTTAAGAATAAATAACTCAGATTTTACTTGCTTGTACTATTTACCCCTTGCAATTCATATTGACTTTAACTGTGTATCAGGTGCAGTGACTTTTGAAACACAAGGACCACATTTTCCAATTGCTAGAAGCTTGTGGGTCATACTTAAATTGCACATGACTTTACTTATTTTTTTAAATCAAAGATGAATTACACAAACAGTGGTAATTGCTTAGATGTGTGTGTTCTTCACTAGGAGTCTACTTTGATGGATTAGTAAATGCTTCTTTTGGGGGTTTCCCAGCAATAAAAACCTGCAGTTCATCCACATGTAGTAGTTACCAGGAGAGGACTGCTAAGGATTCCATTTTATGATGCCACAGGCAGTAACTGCCTCTGAAGGTACATTTTATGAGGCAGTCTGATCATTATTATAGTTTAAAAAAGAAACTAGAAAGAGCCTTTTATTCCTGCTTTTATGATAAGGTCTTGCAAACAAACAGAAATATGTACATATTAGAGTCTGCCTAAAGTAGACAAATCCTGAACTTTCCAAAATTACCAGAATTTTTATGGAAGGAGAAAAGGTCTCTTCCCATTTCTAGAACTAACTATTATTACCCTTTGAGTCCCTAATAGTAAAATATGGAAGCAGGAACACAGAGGTGTCTCTCTGACCATTTTATTTTGTAACCAACAAGGTATCTTTAGAATTACGTAGGGGAAGTTAACCCTACAAGGTACCAAGTAAACTAAAGAATGGTAGTATCACTGTGCATTAGCTGCAATCTGCATTTTTACTTTGTCTCTTTCTGTTTCTCTTTTCTTTATTTTCCTACATCCAGTTCTACTATCATCTATTGCCTCTAGATGAGGCATGATTAATTTAGCCAAATCTGCATAGCAATTAATTTTTTTTTTTCCTATATAAAGCCACCTATTCATTCAACATGGTAAGATTCAACAGATAATAATGATGACTTCTTGGTTACACATTCACCACACCAGAGGAACTAAAATTTGATGGCATGTTGGTGCTAAACCCATCAAACACATATAGTTGGACAGAATAGCTACCACATGAAGACTGAGTAAGGGACATAAAACCTAGCCTTTTAAGATGCAGGGACTCTTCACTTCCTCAGACTATAGTGCATGGAGGTGGTTAGCTGTATTAGTCTGAAGTCAAGCAGAAGGTAGGTCAGAGTGGCACCTTAGGCTAGGTACAAACATTACACATCACATGTTAAACAAACAAAGTGCTCTAAAGCCATAACTGAACAGACATTCACAGCTCTTAGAGCACTTCAAAAATGGTAGATCCCACTCTGAGTTAACCCTGGGTGGATGCGTACTAACCTAAAGCATTTTTTGTTGGGGTGCTTTATCAAATGTCTGTGCCAGATCCCATTGAGGGTTAACTTAGAGTATGATCAGCACTGTGCAGGGCTGTACTCTAGCCTCAGGCAGAGCTCTCTCCTCTGTCCAAGTGCTGGGCCAGCCTCAGCCCCTTGGTTGTCAGTGACCCTAGTCAGTGACAGACTCTGTTCAGAACCTGGCGCACAGCCTGGTAGGGAAGGGGATGAGAATGGGGGAAAAAGGGTGGTGCACTGCAGCCTGACCAGGGGGCTACAGGAAAAGGGCTTCAGGGTCTCTCCCCCATAAAGCAGCCCCTGCTAAGCGACACCATAGCACACCCTGGGTGAGGAGCTGCGGGGAGAGGGGTCCAAGGTCTCCCCTCCCAGCCACTGCTGACCATCACTAGCTGGTGGGGGTTGGAGCTTGGGAGAGGGATCAATCTGGCAGCCTCCTGGGAGGCATTTGGGAGCACCCCCATTAGCCAGTGGAGGCAGGCTTCAAGCCCCTCACCAAACAGTGTTTGGTTTGCTTCCGCTCTAACTAATAGCACTTTAAGTAAAGCACAATAAAGCACTTCCTCCAGGAACTTTTTCAGCATGTATACTTAGCCTTAGAGATTAACTAGTTCAGTCATAAGCATTCATGACCATGCTAGTATCTGATGAAGTAGCTTGTTGCCTACAAAACTCATGCCACTCTGAACCAGTTAATCTTTAAGGGCACCTACACATGTGTTGCATTATACCTAACTACAATGTGTCAGAGCAGGCTTGATTAATCGAGTCTGCTGGGGGGTGGTAATTAACATGCTCCAGCAGACTCCAGCATCTTGCATATCAGCATCTCTGTCCTTAAAAAAGGTGGCTGGGTCCCTTTAACTAAAGCTTATCAAACAAGCAATAGTTAAAGCACCCCCACCACTATTTTTAAGTGCAGGGACACTGATACACAAGACGTTCTAGGAACTTTAATTAAAGCCACTCTGAGAGCCGCTCTAATTAAAGCACCCTCTCCTCCCACTCCCAGACCATGTGTAGAAATGCCCTAAGGTTCCACCCTGCCCTACCTTCTGTCAGACTGTACATGCTAATTATATAAAACAAAATCCTTATTGTAACATATGGTCTAAGTCAGGGGTTCTCAAACTTTGTGATACTATGACCCCAAGTGCTGGATAGCGGCGATGGGGGACGGGGAGCTCACATCTGGCAGCCACCACTACCACCCACCACTCTGTGCCACCACCACACATCACTTCCCCATGCCGCCACATATACCCCCTGGGAAGTTTGCAGCCCCCTTTTAAGTTGCTTGCAACACCCCAGGGGGTCACAACCCACAATTTGAGAACCCCTGGTCTTAGTAGTTCACTTGGTTGTTAAGACTTTCCATGGGGACAAAGAAGAACATGCCACAGCAACAGGACAAGGAGCAGCTGCTGATTTAGTTTCCTGGCATTTATTCCAAACTCACAACTGAAGTACGTTTTGCAAAACTTATGCCCATACCCTCCAGTGTGGAGAATCAACAGGAAGTGGATCCATGGGGTGGTTGTTCAACAACCTTGCTTTGTTTCTGACAGCTGTTAAATTTGGTAACTAGGGAATTCCATAGGTAATCCACTGGTTTTATACATCCCTGTACGGTCTCCCCAAATTACTCCTCCTATCTTTACCACATAGCCATAATGGTTCCATCTTGGTAAAAATCATTTGGACCCACGAAAGAGGGCAGGATTGGGTGCCACATCACTAAACAATGCAGTGAGCTTTGTGATAAAAAAGAGGAGGTGGGGGTGGGAAAGCATTTAGTTAAGTAAGTTCTATATAAGTTCCCTTGAATTAGGTATTGCTATAGCTGAATATTTTGAGGACTCTGAATGCTTTTCTTTTGCCAAATGTATGTTCAGGATATAATTTTATTCTGGTGCTTTTGCAGGTTGATGAACCAGTCTATGTTCTCCCACCCACCAAAGAGCAACCATTTTACTGAAGATCTTTGAGACATCTACAGCACTCTGTGACATAAGGGAGTACGTTTTGTTTCATGTTTTCCTTATGATGGAGTATTCATCTTCAAAGAACCTTACCTACAAGCAGGGAGCCTCAGAAGCACATCAGGGGCGATTCAAAGAGTTTTACATGGAACAGGAGGGGGTGCCCCTTCAAAGTTTCAGTCTTGCAGCTGCCAGAGAAGAGCAAATTCAAAACCTAAGAGGTCAGTGCACCTACCTGTAGTGGGATCTGATATTCAGAAGACTCCAACTAAAAATAAGGAATAGTTATACACTATGATGACCATACCCTCTAGGCAATGTTCTATCCCTCCCTCACACAGAGACACACACAGAGCACTGCCTCCCTTAGAAAAAATAGTAAAAACTGTAGGAGACATAATGGCCTCCAGACAACTTACCCTCAGATAAGTTCCACCCAAAGCAGACCTCTTGATATGAATAAAAAAATGGTTTTCAATCAGCAGGAAGACCACAGGGCTCTGGAGTCCAAATTACCTTAAATAAGGAAGCAAGTGAGAAGAAGTGGGAAAAACACAGCATTGCAGAGCATTGTTTCATTTAAGTTAAACAGCAGAATTAATTTTAAAATGAAATACATGCTAAAATATTCTTTATTTTCCTTAAATTATTAGTATTTTTATTGCAGTAGTACCTACAGGCCTTAAAGTGAGACTGAAGCACCACTCTGACAAGTACTGTACAAACACACCGTAAAAGACAGCCTCTTTCCTAGAGTTTTTGATTAAATATAAAAGATAGATAAAGCATGGGAACAAGGAAGTATTACCATCTTCATTTTACATGTGATGTACTGAGTGAAAGAGAGATTTAGGGCTTGCTGGCATACAGATTTGTAATGGCTTAACTATAGCTGTGATTTAATTTCAACTTAGTTAAATATCACTGAAATGGATATAAATCTACTTCGTTTTAATTTAACTTACGTGAGTTAGGAACACATCTCATTTTCACTGCAGTAGGTGCAAAAACTATCTTTCACAATAACTCCTCCTATCTAGAATAGCTTTTCTGTATCTCTCCTCTTCATTAATTATTTATTTTCATACCTGAATTAAAATATACAGTATTTTTCTTACTGGCCTTTTCCTCTATATCTCTCTCTTCCCCTGTTACAATTTATAATTTACACTGCAAATATTCATTTAAATTTGTAAAGCATTTTGAGATGTTTTTTGCCTGAATGGCACAGTATAGATACACTTGCGCTACATACTGTACAGAATACTTTCTTATCAGAAATAACATTTTTAAAGTTTTAAACATTGTTTTCATTTTCATTGTCATATGCTTCGTTTACTTCAGTGCTGACTACATCATTCAAATTCAATGTATTTACTTCAAGTTGGGTTGATAAAAGCAAACTGGGATGGATCATAAACTTTATTCCTGGCTTTTTTTCTTGTGTAACCTTTGCTTTATCATATTTTCATTTGCATCTAGCGAAGAGCATTTGCATCTAGGACTGTACATTTATTGCTTCAACCTGATTTATCAAATGTACTAAGACTTTTGGGAAAATTCCAGTTGGTTAGTATAACAGTAATATACAGTATGTATTGTATATGATTGGTCATCATCTATAGTTTAATTTTCTATCAGATACATCTTTCATAAAAGAAAGGAGAAAAATGGACTGGAATCATGGAACTATTTTAATACTACCAGGAGATATGTTACGCTGTATAAAGTTTTCAGATTTTTTTAAAGCCTTTATTGTCTCCAGTTGCTTGATTTCTATCTGTATTTTATTGTTGTTGTTGTCGTTGTTGTATTTGGAGTGACTTCACTCAAAGCAGCTATGCTGCAAACTCTTCAAAGTCTTCACAGAAAGAGGGATTGGTTTGTGTCTTATATGGTTCCTGGGTTAGGAAACAACATAATAGTACAAATAAGCATGTTACGCTATTTTTCTTCCTGCTGTGTGCAATGAAGCCAACAAGAATCCCCTACTCTAGAAAACTAAGATCCTGCAAATGAACCTAAGTCACCCACTCTAATACAGCATTAAAATGATTTCTCCCTCACTCACATTTTTTGTGTAGAGCTGATATTCTTTTCTTTCTGGAGTCCTCTCCGGTCCATAATATTTTCTTTTTCTATGTCATCTGTTTTAAAAGAAAAAATAATTAAATGCGACTGAAACACAAACCTCTGTCCCAGAAGTATGAAAATTTATTTTAAAAATAAGACATAATTTTATCTTTTGTAGAGGTTACCTCTTATATCCAGAAAATCTGAAACTGAAATAGAATTAATGCAGCTAAGAAATAACCACATAAAAGTATTTTACAGTCAGCCGAAGTATGAAGGATAATGCTCCATATTTTCTGCAAATAAATCTGTACTTTGCTTCTATTACCTAAAATTATCTTAATATGTCAATAATTATATAGATCACGAGGGTAACATGATCGTAAAGCACAAAATAAACAAACAATGTTGCTATAAAGTCCTGGTAGTATAGAATTACCTCATTAGACAGTTTAGTTTGAAATGCCAGAAAACTGAAACATCTACGTCATGGAAACAATGCCATAATGGAATACAGAAAGAAGGAAGATAAGACATAGTAAGAATTAATGGTACCATTAAAAAAGAATCTGTTGCCTCATAAAACAGTATGTCAAAGGATTCCATGATGACATATCACAGAGTACGTGAACTGGTGATGCAGTTATAACCATATTTTTTCACATAGAACACACCATAGAATATAATACATGTCCTGTTTTTGAAAGGCAGAATGAAAAAAAAAGATTTTTCCAGAATTATGGATGCATAGAGCAGGGACAGAGTCTAATTTTCACCTGACTCACCCTCCCTTTCCTGCTTGCTTAAAGCTGAAAACCTAGTGGCTGCTGCAAACTGGTTTCCCTGAGTGGATCAATGATTTTGAAAACAGCTAAAAAGTGTCCAGGGCTATGAAACAGAAGAGAGACCAGGAGCAGCTAGCACACATTAAAATTGCTACAAGGAAGGTTAGCTAAATTAATGGAACATTAAGACCACTAACTCCCTTCACTGTCTGAATAGTAATAGTAATACCACAGCTGCTGCATTGTAGAGCAGTGTGCTTCTACCCCATACAGAAAATAAGCTTCCCTGCACCCCAGTTTGGGTGAGCTAATTTTTGGGGAAAGGCTATGTATTATATGTGAGAAAATACAATACATAATCTCATGAAACAGTCTATTAAAGCATTTTATAACACACAGTGGGTGCACCTATATGATTCCTTTTCCTACTGTGTATTAGCATGTCATGGCAAAAACCATGATAATGTGCTAATGCACAGTAGAATTAGTCTACTGTGCCTGAAGAGCACAAAAAAGCAATGTTCACCTTTGCTACTGTGCATTAGCGCAGCTGCTGTGCCTTTATCTAGTATCTCATATTAGAGATACTAAACTTAATGCGCAGCAGCAAAGGTGCATAATGAATGTGTAGACACACCCAGTGTAAGTCAGTGGACCATGGGGGTTTTGGGAGGTCCAGGGAGTGGGTGTTGAGAGGCTAAAAATAGCCCAGTCAGGGTCAAGGGTGGGAACAGTGCAGTCCTAGGGCTGGGGCAAGTGGCTGGGCTTTCCCGGCCCTGAGGCTGCACTGCAAATGTATACAGGCATTCACGAGATCAGGTCCGGGGTGGCCAACCTGTGGCTCTGGAGCCACATACGGCTCTTCAGAAGTTAATATGCATTCTCCTTGAATCTTTGCATAAGCACACGGTGACCAGCTTCCATAGCCATTATGTCACGTCACGTGATGCAAATGCTCGCAGTGAGCACATTACTCTGTTTGGACTTGGAAGTTTGGACACCAAAGCCATTTGTTGGCCACCCCTGGAACCCTTTCTTAGATCAGGTGAACCTAATCTCAATTCAAGTTAGTGTACCTACTCAAGTGAACTGATTTAGATCAGGTGCACCATTTTTGGGGTGATTTTAGCCCTCTGCATGCCCATATGATTGAGGATTTAGATCAACCTAACCCTGGTTAGAGCAATCTAAATGTAATGCCTGTGTGTACCCAGTGAGACTACTATTCAACTGAGTTTGTGTACTCTAGTCTGAATGGCTTCAGAGTCTGGCTATGCTTTAGACACATTAATATTTCAAATTTACTTCTAATCAGGAATTGTATTGTTTCACAAATGAGAAATTAAAAAAATATGATGCTGCCTTTCTGTAACATTCAAACATATTTCTGAACAATCTGTTTCAGTCATTTCTCTGTGCTGTCTTGTAATATTTCAAGCTATATACTTCACTCTGTATTTGGCATTTTTTCATTTGTAGGAAGTGCATCATTCACTATTACATTATTTAAAAGTTTGATCTTAAAAAGTCCTTTATGAGCCAGATCCTCAGCCGACGCAAATCAGTGGAGCTCTAGTGAAGCCAAAAAAGCCACAGTGACTGACATCAGTTGTGTCAGTAAATACCAAAAAGATGGATTTAAAACTTTTTCCAAAACAAAAGATTTTTGAAGATGGATTAAACAACATAAATGCTGAGCTGTTTTGCTAGACTGCAAATGGCATAACACATTCTTTGTGTGACATCGCTGAATTATCCCTTGGTGGTAATGTTGACATTACATTATAGTGACTCATGGAAGAAGCTTAAATACCCTTTTAAGTTTTCAAGACTCTTTGACAAAGCACTATTTCATTAACAAAATGTTAATGAAATCTAGGAAGCCTGAACATGCAGTATAGTCTGCTGGTTTCAAGGAGGTCTGTTCAGTGATCAAGAGATGAGAGTGCAACAGCACAGTATAATTTTCATTTCCGAATGGCAGAAAAGCACCATGTGATCAGAGTAGTCATCACTGGAGGTCTACCACATCCTGTTTGAGAGCAGTCAAAATAACATGAGCGAGGAAGAACATGTAATACAAAAAATGTTTCACACGTGGTTGTTTTTTTCATGAAAAAATTTGGCGGCCATAGAATACTGTGTACTATACATAGGGCTGTGCGAAACAGCATTGTTCTGATTCGACTTCCGTTTCGAGGATTTGACTGAACAGTGTTTTGCTTCATTTCATTTTGAAACCACTTCCGTTTTGTTTTGTCAAAACTGTTTTTCTGTTTCGATGCTGTTTTGATGATTCAACCATAGGTTATTATGGGAAATCATAAAATGCAGCAGGCAGGCAAATCGGGGACTCCCCTGCACCCCCAGGAGGGCTGCTGGGGCTATGCCTGAGTCTTCCCAGGGGTGTGAGCCTGGATCTGCCTGCCAGATGAGAGAAGCCAGGTGCTACCACCTGGGACCAGCACACGGAAGATCACTGCTGCTACTGGTCCCAAGCAACAGCACCCAGCTCTTGTCAACTGGTAAGCAGATTGGGAGCTCACAGCACCAGGAGGAGCTCTGGCATAGCCCCCGCAGCCCTCCTGGAGGTGCAGGGAGCCCCCAGTCTGCTTGTCGGATGACAGGAGGTGGGTGCTGCCCACTGGGACTGGCGCTGAAGCCAATAAGCCTGACTTTGAAACTTGAAATGTTGCAAAACTTTCACTTCTAAACTGTTTCAAAGGCTTTTGTTTCATTTTGATTTCACTGTTTCAAGCTCGAAACGCATCAAAACAGCTTCAACACAGAATGCCAAGTTAAATTTTACACAACCCTACTGTACAGTGCATTCTCATAAGTCATTTTTAGCAGAAGCCAATTATGAGCCGAGAACTAAGACTATCAGCTCTTAGTATTCTGCTCTCAATGCAACACTCTCTAACTCCGTTGCTGCCCCAAATCAACCCCCCACCCATAAAATAAGAAAGATGCCTGTTTTTTCATTGTTTCACATTGGCGATGAACATTATTATTGGGATAGGGGTTTACAGTACTATATAAACAGTGAAGATAATGAAGCCAGTTATGTCAGCTAGGAGAGATTCAAATTTGGACTATCCACTCTTCATCTTTCTTTTGTCTATCAGCTTACTTGCCAAAGGCATAGGCTGGCTCTTCAAAAATGTACAAAACCTATGACAGACTGTACATAGCTTCTCAGTAAGCAATGATGTACACTTTGGTAATGAGCTGGTTATATGGGAGAAGTTGCAAGTGTAACTAGAAACCTGTTGTTAGTTTTCCAATTGGGTAGGTTCTGTCACAGGGTTACACAAACCATTTTACAAGATGAAACCATTAGGGATTCTCTGTACTATAAAAGTGGACACATAGAAAATGGAAAATGAAAATATCAGAACTAAATGCAGAAGGAAAGTTGTTTTTGCACCCCACAAAATTGTTCAACATTCCAATAATTTTCCCATCCCATATTGGGACAAAACTGAGACCTTGAGAGATCTTGGCCCTCCTAATAGAACCAGCAACCTACTGGTTAGGACATACATATGGCATGTGGAAGACCTAGCTTCAAGCCCCTGCTCTGCCTCATTCAGAGTACAGACTTGAATTTCAGTCTCCCACATCCCTGTTGAGTGCTTCAACAATATAAATAATTAATGACTTATTGGGCCAGAGAGAAAGACTGACTCAATAGCCATGGGGTTGGTGCCCTCACCTGGAATGTAAAAAGACTGAGGTTTAAATCCATAACTACTTAATTATTTATAAGAAATGGAATTACATTAAGAGGAGGAACTGAGATGTTCAGTCCAGAACAACAAGGGCCTGATGGGCAGAGCACTCTTTTGGAAAGAGATTGAGTCTTTGGACTTCCAGTCCTTAGGATAAATCAGGCAGACTTGAAGTTGGACCTACCCTATCCCAGGAAAGTGACAAGACCAATGGCCTGATGACCACTTAGGGTGGGTATTCCCACAAACGGTATCAGTTTTAATGATTCAGCATTTCCCAAGGAAAATCCCTTTTGCCAAAAATGTTCTGACTAGCCCAACACAGAAAAAGAACCCAGAAAAAGAGCTTGTTACTAGGTGAACTCATACTTCGTTTAGCAGAGAAGACAATAAGACTGGCATCATTAGATGATGGTAGGTACCTTACTAATGATTAAGGGCTTGCTGCTCTATCTAAATGATTTTCATCACAGCAAGCAACCTTCATCAATGGAAAGATATGGACTCAAAGAGTGGATACCTGACTGGTAATAAGAAATGTCTTCCTTTTGAGGTGAAAGAGAGC